CTTCTTCTGCAATATGAATTTAATAATATCTTAAATATAAGTCTAGCTTTGAAAAGTATTTTAAATCTGTAAATCTATTTATCAACTCATCAACTCTGAATAGTGGATAGTGATTCTTGATAGTGATGTTATTCAAAGCTCTATAGTCAATACATAATCTTAATGTATCTTTTTTTTATGTACAAAAAGAACTGGTATTCTAAATGGTGAAATACTTGGATGAATGAAACCTTTCTGTATTAAATCAGCTAATTGTTTCTTGAGCTCATTCATCTTTGTGAAAGAAAGTCTATAGGTGGGTCTGGATAGTGATTCAGATCCTGGAATGAGATCAATTTTATGATCAATTACTCTCATGGATGATAGTTGATTTGGTAAGATTTCTGGAAATACATCTTTATATCTTCTTTTAATATCTAGCACTTCTGATGAAAGTAACTTTTCCTTAATATCTTCTTTATCTTCAGTATTATTGAGATATATAGTAAAGAGCTCTGTATCTGCTAGCAGATTGGCAATTTGTTATCTTGAAATGTAAATTGAATTGCAACTAGAGCCTGATTTAACTTTATTATCAGCTTGAATTTTTATTATCTTTGATCTATAGGTAAAGGTGATAATATTATTTCTCCAGTCTAAGTATAGGTTAAAAACAAATAACAAATATTAGCTATTGTTAATTAGTAAAGTGTCCGGTGACTTTCTTTCTACGAGTGTATTAATTCAGCAAGAAGTCACTCGAGACAATCAATAGCGATGAAAATATTAAATTCTGCAGTAATTCATCAGGCAATACAAATCGAGAATGCGTTTGCATACTGTGTTGTTGATAAGTAATTTCCTGTGTAGTAATTTATTGCAAATGAAAAACCATTAAAGATAATCAAATTAAAAAATGAGGTAACTTTAGAACGCGATATCTCGACGTCCAAAGGGCTATTCGATTCGTCTAGGTTAGATAAATCGAATGGTCCTATTTTTGTCCAGATTGGGATTTTGGACGTCATCCCAAGTTACAGAATTTTTGTTTTTTAAATTTGATCATCCAGTTTTTTATTTTTTAATATAATAGATTCTTTTAATAATGACTTTTTATCATCTATATACTTTGTGCATGTACATGCATATAGATTTTATTACAGGTTTATACAAAGTTATTACAGAGATATCATATTACAGGTTTTTCCGTACAGCAATTACATATTACAGGTGATTACAGAGGTTTAACTAGTAAAATTTTCTCATAGGGCTGTTTCATTTCATTCGTTGCTTTTATCATATTAAATTACCTTTTTAACTTTTTATTGGTGATATTCAAGCACACAACATTTATAGTTATCATACCCTCAGTGAATTGAACCCCGGTACCATACAAGGTAGGATTTAATGTAATTCTAGTCAAAAAGGCTAATTCTGGCTGAAACTATTATTTCTATATACCCCCTTGCCGAACAGTGTATCCCCCGGTACAAATCGGATTGATGAAATGTCTAAACGGCAAAAATTACGGTGTATAATTTTTGTCCGACAAAATAAATTTTTTTACTAACCAAGAATCTTATTCGAAAATTGTTCCATTTCGTATACTAAACATTTTTTTTCTATTGATTTTGCAGCGGATATTATAACAAAGGAAATTACAGTCCAAGCTATTTAATTAGATGTTTTAATTGTTGTATTAGGGAGAACTTTGCTTTTGTTAGCAATACCTATAGCTAAGCTAAAAAAATAAATATTTTTGGTTTAAATTAGCTTTTGTTACAAAAATTAAACGGTACCTTAAAGAAATAATTTTTATCATATTTGATATCAAATTTTATTGTGGTTTTTTGTGCTAATTTTAATGCTGAACCTTTTAAACTCGAATATGCCTAAACCTCTAGACGTAAATAACCACTTGCCAAATTTAATACTGAATCTTTTTAAATTCGAATATACTTAAACTTCTAAAAGTAAATTACTCCAATATACTATATACGTGTATATGTAATATAAGAAAACCATCTTCTTATTGTAATAATCACATTTTAAAAACAACATGTATGGGCTGACAGAAGATTTACAAGAATTCTCATGCGTTTAGGGTATGCGTTAGAAAAAATTACATTATGTGTAAAATCTCAAGCACCAATAGATTAATAATGTTTAATTGCGGAAGCTGAATATTCATTACCAAAGCAAAATTAAATAATCATGTATTTGAATTTAGATAATCATTGACAAAGTTCGCAAAACTAAAAAAATACGATACGTAAGTACATGTAGTTTCGACACACCAAATTATAAAAAAATTGTACTACGTATATGTACTTATTTTTTTAATTCTTCACTCGTTATCGTTATGGGGGTAACGATAATAAATTCATAAAATGTCGTGTTCATATTTAAGGATTAGCAAATCATCGGGTTATAACACCAAATACGCGTACATGTATAAGGATTAGCAAATCATCAGTTATTACCGTTACACCAAATACATGTATTAGAGATGCAATCACCCCACCCATGAGTATCGTTCATGATATGTACATCGAAAATAACCAGACATTTATTTTTTAATGCCGAAAGACATGATAAATGAGTAAGTATTAACAACGGAGAATTTAATAAAGATAACTGAAGCCTAATTAAAGAACAAAGAACTTGTGTCGTTACCTTCAAATTTATATCTTTTTGTAAATTTTATACCGATACGGATTAATTGTATAACACGTATTAACAGGAAAATCGAGCAGAAATAGAGTAGATATTCATGCAAGTAGAAATTAATTTTGGCAATCCCGAACATTACTAAGCATGCACAGCACCCATTCATCGCCCGGTTTACGGTGTAATCACTAAATTTTTATTCGTAAACTCGTATTAATATTAAATTAATAACTGAATTAAATATTAGAATTCTCATAATGAATTTAATTTTTCATAATAATACATAAATCCACATAAATCATTTTAAGATAGAATCCTAAGCACAACTACTAATCCTTAGACTGAATTCCAGTTTTACTAGATCACCCTAACGAGCACTGACCATCAGAAACGAGAAATCACGTAATAAGAATAGATCGTAACTCAAAACCGGTTTCCTTTGTTTTGTTACAGTCGAACACTAGCGGGAGACAATAATTTAGAGCTTACAAGTAGTAGTAGTCGAGATATAAATATTCTAGCGGCAATAGATTGGCATCCAAATCTATCTCTATGGAAAAGTTTGTGAGAAATCTCGGAAAGATTAATGATTAAGAAAAATTTAGTAGGACCATAGGAATTTAATTTTAGATTATTTAAAGTCTAATTTTGTACTTTCAATAAATAATGTAATGTCAAACTATGTATTTACAATTAGGAAGCGAAGAGATGTTCATATTCATGAATATAGGAAGTAATGTAGTAATAAGTATGCATATCTATGTAAGCACATGTATTTACATATAGGATAATGTGTAGAGTAATAATATTTTTTATCTTCTTTATTTTCTTTGCGCACAAAACCGATGAATATCGTTGCTTGTTTGATATTGTTCGAACTCTTCGATTACTCTGTCGAGTAGTTGATCATATTCGTTAGATGTGACACTCATAAATTCCATGGTATGCTTTTTTAAAGCTTGAAATACTTCGACAAAAATCTCTTTATACTAAATAAAGTAAAGTATAATTGGTTAATCGATTAATTCAAATAATTTAAGGTTGACCAATTAATGTATGCTGCAAAATACATACCAATTCGCCACCTATTCCACCAGCAGAACTATATGTAGCTGGTCGTTTTCCGACCCTTATATTGTCAAATATTCCGCTTTTAGTCAAAATCTTTGGAATTTCAACGGTAATCCACGAATTTATACCTTTCGACTTTACTCCCGACAAGACTATTGAAAACAAAATTATTACATATAACTTGAAGAATTAAAATTCTTTGATATGAATTGAGAATAACTTACAAGCTTGTAATAATTTTTTTGTAATTTCTCCTTGATTTTTTAGATCCGGATCATTCTCCATCCATTCAAGCCATGCGCCAGGTTTCATAACACGGGCAACTTCTTGAATGATTATTGATTCCAATTGTCGCATCGTGAAACAACCACTTAAAAAATGCATAACCACAAAATCAAATTCACCGCTTTTAATTGGTATCCCGTTAAGGAGATTGGCTTCTATGAATTCAACATTATCTGGCAGCTCTCTTGAATAACTTGAAGTGATATCAATATCAACACCTGTGAATGTGCATAATGGATATGCTTTGGCCATTTCGATTATCCATGTTCCTGAACCACATCTAAAAATGATCATTCATTTAGAGACTGATAGAAGTGAGGATGAAAATACTTGATATTGCTTACCCAACGTCCAATATTTTTAATCCACCAGCTTTTAAATAACCTTCGATTGGTGAGGAGAAATTCCCTTGCCATGCAAGTCTTGCTATGATTTGTTTTTTCTCGTTTCTCTCCAATTCACTCTCGTCAGCCGGGAGTACACTAGGAAGATCTCGATAGAATTTTCGGCCGCCCACGTATCGAAATGTTGCTGAATCCGTTCGACTTGATAGATGTTCATCACTACTTATGCTAGAAATTTCTTTGACGGGTGGTTTGAAGTAACGCCGTTTTGATTTTTTTGATTGTTGGTTTCCCATTTTTTGATATAAATAGATGATTGAATAAAAGATGCAATTGATGAATGAATGAATGGGTTGACTTTAAATAAATTAAATATCAACGGTATGATATTGACGTTATTAAATAAAATTTACCAAAAAATTAGGTTTAAATAGAATAAAATCAGCAAGACGATTAACTAATCTTCACTTCATAATCTTAGTAAGCTCTCTTTTGAATTGCATGTAGTAACACATAGTACCATCACAGAAAATTTCCTGTAATATCGATATTAACATGGAAAGTTTCAAGATTGTTCTTATTTTAAATTCTAAAATATGTGATCGGTTGATCATTACGTTAAGAACGTTAACGTGTATATTTTTATTATGGTGGTGATGATTATTGTAATGGTAAAATGCTAACCAATGAATTTACCTCATTTTTTTGCATTAACTAAATATTATACGTTATAAAGGAATATTTCATTTGCGATCCTCGTGCCAAGTGAAAAAAAAACGATTTCAGGCATATCAAATGTGGGGTAAAGTGCGGGAAATTACATTGCATTTTCTTCCTTATAGAAGTTACCATTGACATGGATTAGTAACTGATAACGTAAATGTTTTGTCATCAATTCGTAATACAAAAATGAATGTTTCCAATTTTCGCAAATCCGTATATTTTAAAATTTTTGAGTTGCATTCATTGGTTTATATTTTTGGACGCTAAACGGAAAAGGTAAATTTAAAAAATTTTTTTGAGGGTCTAGATGTGTTCTTGTCACATGTCAAGTAATTCATTGGATTTGTAAATACGTAGTTCAATCACATGGCATGGGGCTCGTTCTTGATGTATTTTCCTTATAATATTATTGTACCACATTGAATTTCTTAAATGTATTCCGATAGAATGTTTATCGTTATTAAAAATTTTCTCTTTGAAAAGACGCACGACATAAACGTAAAATTTAATATAGCATATGTAACGACAACATTGTAAACAAATGTTTTTTTCCGGATTATAGTATATAAGGAATGCACTTCGATTAAAAAGATCACTATGCGAGCATTATGTGAATACATGTACATGTACATATAATCTTTTCGTAAGCTTTAAACTTTGTAAGCCTCTTACAATTTGATAAAAGATGATCTTATTCTAACGCTAACTATAAGCGTATCGATCTCCTTAATTAAATATCGATATGCTTACAAAAACTTTAAATGTATAAGTAGGTATGTGCCAAATCAGGAAAAGAGGGGATATCAAAATAAAGTACGTATTTGGAAAATCGTGGTGTATCGTGCACATGTACTATGTTTCCTGGAAACACAACAGTTCTCACTTAAACTATAATTTGCACAGATGTTTATTCAAATAACTTTTTTCGAGCAAAAGAGAGTTTATGATTATCGTTATATAGAAATTAAATTTCTTAAGGGAAAAGTGTGATTACCGAGAGAGAGAGTGCTATATTGATAATGCATTGTTTGTTTTTATAACAAAGCTGATTATTTATTTTACATAATAAAAAATGTTTGTTAACATAATATAACGGCGGCAATGAATAAATGCATTGTTTATTTTATAACAAAGCTGATTATTTATTTTACATAATAAAAAATGTTGTTAACATAATATAAATGATAACAATGAATAATACACAGAAAAAATTTTCAAAAATCAATTAACTTTGATTATGAGATGTCATGTGCATAGTTGCATGTTGTCTGTTCATCCAAGTCTTTATTTGAACACAATCTACGACCAATATAAATGCCATCTGAGTCGTAGGATTTTTCGCAGTTACGTGCTGTGTTTAAATGAAATGCATGAAATTAATGAGAAATATCGTCATTAATATGAATGTTAATTCATATCTTTCAACACGTCTCCAAAAGGGCGTTTATTGTTCGTTTTATGATCTTTGAAATTTAATTACAGTCAATATTATCTAACTTATATCAAATTCTGTAGTATTATATTCTAGAGTATTTTTTTAATTTATAAAACTGATATTGTGACAAAATAATGTATAAGATAATTGTGAATTTACCTTCTTTTGAACATTCAAACTACATAAATATTTGATATATTTAATCAATCTATCATTTTGATTGAATATAAAATGAATATACGTGCCTCTATTAGTTGAGTTTGCATTAATTTTGACGCAAAGCTTAAACTGGTGTAATTGGAGCTGGATGATTTGTTCTGCATTCCTTGTCAAGTTCTTTCAATTGCTATCCCTCTAGGTTAAGGCACTCAATAATTTCTTCATGAATTTTAAATTACTCTAATGGAAATACAAAATATCAAATACCATTGGCTGTGCAGACAGGATAAATAAAGTCTCCCAGCCACTTAGTCTTTTCTCATATAGATGTTATAGTCTCGTATATAATCAACATTATGTATGGTTTACCCATTTAGCATCTCTGGACTCGTATAAGGAAACTAAATTTTTTGATTAGACTATATTGTTGAAATGCTTAATTCAATTTGTGGGGGATTCAATATTAATATATTTCCAGGATGAGAGCCACAATGTACAAACTTTTTCTGTGAATTTTCTTAGGTCAATGATAATATTAAATAAATTTACTTTCCAAGTAAAATTTTTCATAGTTGGAATTTATATGGGCCGAGTGTAATTGAAACAGTGTAAATTTGTATTAGAATTTTTAATATAATTTACACCGTTTCTATTGTACTCGCCTATACATTTACAGAGATCGCACTATCGAATTTTCATTTGTAACTAGATTTTCAATTATTCCATTTAAGAATAAATTTTTGAAAAATTTGATTGTATCAATAAACAAAAGCAAACTCATTTTTAGAAAATATTTATTTTTCAATACCTCGTTTATAAACGCTGGAATAATTTGTTTGAATTGTGCAATGATTTAACTTATTTTTCATTCTCTCCAATTTTTAAATTTTACGAATGTTTCATTCAACCAGGTTGATGTATAATTGTCCCAAACCCTCTTTTGAAAGATATTTCGACGTCACATTGATAAGTGATTCATTCGAAAATTCTATTTTATAAATTTAGTTAACTTCATTCTTTTACTAGATTGTCGATATCTTTGTCCACTAGAAAATCGTTTGTGATTCACTAATCGATACATGAGCTGAACCTTCATCGCTGAGTTTACCTTATAAAATACGGTTTATATTGATATAGTAAAACAAATAAAAAAAGAATACTTTATATCTCTAATTTTTCAAATGGTTATCTACACACGTAAATCGGTACATGTATTTAAAATATATGTATTTAATTTCATAAATTAGAAATAGAGTTATCTATTAAATTAATTTATGATTTGACAATTATATATTGGCGACATTGTCGCCATTTCACGTGCTTTTTGATAGACTAGATAAATAAGTTGCGAGTAAAAGTCAAATACAGAGATGGATTAATCGAAAACGTAAAATTCGTTGATCCTAAATAACGTGAATTGGGACTGGTATTAGATATCGAAGCAATATTTCAAGTAAATTAAAACTGTTTCTTATATCAAACATTCTTTTTAGCTGAAAAAATACATAAACTTCGAATTTATGTATTAAAATATTTTTAAAGCATAACTCGTAATTTACAGGTAAAACCCAAATATTAAATTTAATTTCCAAATATAATGAAATGCTTCAATTTATAATTTTATGAAAAAGCTAATTTGCTTTGTTTAATATAATTTTAATTAGTCAATTTCTTTTCTATTTTCAATTCAATAAAATCCTAAATAAAAAGCGGAAATTTTATTTACATATACTTATATTAAAAATATTCATAATAACTGTATAAAAATTATAATTGGTGGTGACTTATACGCAATTGCAATACGAGATAGTGCTTATTTTCTAAATAACCTCTTAATACACGTTTAAACTTTGTGTTTCGCAGTTTCGTGGTTTATAATAATAAATAAATATTACAAAGTAAACTCTATTTGTTACGTTTTGCACTTTATGGCGTCCATGATTCTGGTATATAACGATGGTACGCTTACAACAGATAACGATAACCGTCAAAGACAGACTTATTATTAAAATAATACCTGATTTTAATGTTTTCAAATTTAAACAGACTCGATGGCTCTATGAAAATTCTAACTATCAGATAATCACGGGCTTCGTGATCTGAATCTCGTGATTTTAGAGTATAAACCAATCAAATGTATTCAAAACAAATGTTTATAATTAAAAATGCATGTATCCTTTCTATGTTTAAATAAAAGTTTGTTCCTTGCGAAATTTTACTTTATTCCTTTTCGAACTTTACCTTAATTCTGATTCCAATCTAATCCATAATCGAAATTCTTAGTTCCTGTATCTTAATTTGTAACGTGTTAAGAAAAACAGTAAAATAATCCCTCTTATTGTCTCGTAACACCTGAACCAACCAAAATTCATACAAAAATTCATATCTTATAACATCAACATTGATCTCGCTTCGCAAAACTCTTACATTATGATAACCACATCAATACTGCCTTTCCCAATCATACAAAATTCTTACAAAAATGCGATTTTCAATAGAAACTCATGCAAACATTCATATCGTACGCTATACATGTACCCTTGATCCAAAGAAAACATTACAACATTCAAATTTGTGTTGTAATAATTTTACTTACAATTGCAATTAATTTTATTGTTATTCTTTGTCTTGAAGCATATCCATGCCCTTTTTTAAAAATTTCATGTTAGGAATCACTAATTCTTGTAATGACTTACGGTCTGTAAAATAAATATCAAATTGTATATAAAGGACAGCACTCGAAAGTCAGAGAGAGACAAGTCAATGTTGTTTTGAAGAAAGCTAAACAAAAATTATTGTCCGGCGCATAGCGGAGGACTTACATTTCCAGGGGTCTTAGCAGAAATTTGTCCGCCTGTCCATCCACGTGCCCACATACATATATTACATATTTTGCTCCGGACTTACAACAGTTCCTGTTTTCCCAGTTTTAAATTCTTATCAAACAGTGTTTCAGCTTTTATTTCTTTTGTGTCTTAA